AATTAAAATGATACCTGATACGCATGGAAATGTGTGATGATAATGGGTTTGATTAAATGGCAGTACCACAGTTTTTCCCTGTTGTTTTTTTCTTTTTTTGTTTATTTAAATCAGACATTGTCATTGTATATTTACCTCATCCTCTTGAGGTAAATATACAATGACAATGTCTGATTTAATCCTTTGTCATCCTTCTCATCCTTTGTCAGTGTCAAAAACAAGGTCTGAAAGTGGCTTACCCCCTTTACCAAATACAAGTTGTAATAATAAAGACAAAATTTACAGAAGAATGTAGACATGCTAAATGGACTGGAACTTAAATAGAGCCTTTCATTCACCCAGTTACACTCACATTCATACAGCACTTTTATCTAACAATTAAGACAGTCACATGCCAATGCATGCAAATTGGGGTTCAGTATTTTGCCCGGGGACATGTCAACATGCAGACAAGAGGATCTGGGAATTGGAGCCTTGAACAAGACTATTTTTTTGAATTCTGCTCCCACCAAATTTCTGACCATTACTGTCTGCTCCCACTGTCTGTCTCTGTCACCTGCTTTTACAATATTTGTGTCCAATCCTGCCTGCATCCACAGAAAGCATTGTAAGTTGGTGAAAGATGTACCCTTAGGCCCCCTCCTCAATTCAGAGATGGTCTTTCTATTTTCATGTAAACAGCCTTGTTGACTCCCTGCTCAAACCAGCATTCCTCCCTGTCCAGGATGTGGGATAGATCCTTATCACTGAAAGAGTGTTCACTGGCCTGTAGTAGTAAATAGACCGCAGAGTCCTGGCCTGATGAGTTAGCTCTTCTGTGCTGTGCCATCCGCTTAGCCAGAGGTTGCTTGTTATCCCTGATGTATAATCATAACAATCCTCCTGGCACTTAACACTGTTCACTATATTACTGTTTGTGTGCTTAAGGGTACATCTTTCAATATCTTACAGTGCTGTAATTGCAGCCATTCCCCAACTCTCGATGAATGGCACTCGTCATCATGACAGTTTGCATATTAATGATAAAGAAACTGAGCCCTATTGTTAGTCAGTGGTGTTAGTTTCAGCTTGTTTCATGCAAATGTACTGTTTAGAGGGTTGGGGAAACCTGCAGTCAGCTGAGACTGAAGAAATCACTTGAGTGATTGAGGATGAGTGATTAAATATTTCTTCCACTGAAAAAGTTACGTCCTGAGAACAGAATAAACTTTTGGGATTTACTTACCTGGATGATTGAGCATGCATCAAGTACTGTGGCCCTAGCAACTACCTGGTATTTTGGCTAATGGATGCACTAATCACCATTTATTTACACCTTTCAGAAGGGAATAGAGTATGGCACCAACATGTGAGCACACCTCTCATAATCCTGCCTTACAGGACAAATTGCACCAATCCCTGCTTCTCCACAGGAACACAGGTTGTCAGTGGCAGCTCATTTAAACTGTAGGAATTATTTACCAAACATCGGAAAAATACTAGGTCAACTTTAGTGTTATGACACAACATCAATGTAACAAATTAATGCTACCTTAACTTCTCTGGCCCTGCACTTTAAATTGTCCAAGTCAACAAAATGTAAGATTTACCTGTGGTAGTTTATTTAAGCAAGTTATGTACCTTTGCTTTAACAATGAACAATTTCTTGTTGCTGTCCATACTTTGAAACCTTTCATTCTGGCTACAATGTTAGGGATCCTCTACAAGACACATGTAGATGTGACCAAACTGGAGCTCTGGGAGAGAGGTCACTCTATATACAATACTTTGAAAAAGTATTGTATATAGAGTTTTTCTAGTCTTACTCACTGCTTTTAATACACAAGCCCAACTCAGATTGGAAGATGAGCTACTAGTAACACTACATAGAGTAGATTTTGCAGTAGTTTTGCTCTCTTTGGAGAAGAGTTAGAGTTAAATGCTTTTGGTTGTTAATGTCAACGATCCACTTTACACATTTTAATAATATAATAAAAGCTGAAAAACAAAATAATTGGTTACTCAGTGTCTAATTTTGTATGTGACTTAAATTCTTTTCTGCAGGATGAGCTATAGAACAGCATATCGTAGTGGGAACAAGACCATGTACCGGAGGAAGTCTCAGTGCTGCCCAGGCTTCTATGAGAAAGAAGAGATCTGTGCTCGTGAGTAACACACACACACACACACACACACACACACACACAGCCAGACATGTTTCTATCGCTTTAGAGGATTTCAAGCTATTTCCTTAAACACTAAGAGAGTCAGGAAGACATCTTATACAAGTTTCAGTGCTCTGTGAGACAAATAGTGATTTTGCTTAAGGTCAGCTGTTAGTAACACTTTCCTTACAGCCATTTATCACACTTATTAAATGCTGTAATTAATATTTCTTTTCAAATATCTTGTCACACTTACCTTCCCAGTAAGGCTATTACACAACCCACATCCCTCCTTTTTAATAGGCAGTGACAGGTGTTACTTTGGCAAAACTAACAATTGTAACAGCAGTAAAAAAAAAAAAAAAAGTTTCTGTCAAGACAGCCTGTTCTCATGGTGGAAAGAGTTGGTGATGAAAAAGTTATGTGTGCTGTGGTGGAAGGGAGAAAACAGTTAATGTCCCCCAGGAATTTGTTCTAGTGTGAAAATACTCTGCTTTATAAGTAGCCTAAGCATCACATGCTGCTCTGAGAATCACATTTAATTTGCCAAACACTTTAGGCAACATGCCGTTTCCTGTTGAAGTTTTATTGGAGAAGGAATCAGTTATATTAAGGATTTATTACTTTTTGTTTGTGTAAAGTCAGAGAAGAATCTGTTTGTTTGAAGTGGGTTAATCAATGCAAATCCAGCTTTAAAAAGAGTAATAATCTTTAAAATCAGTGGCATTTGCTTGGTATTAGTGGACAGTGAAAATAAATCATAGTCTTGATTGAAGTTGTCTGTTACAAGGACTGTATTTAGAGTTTCTTGTAAAGAAAAATATTTGTTTGCATGAGGAAAAATCTGCTTGAAAAGCTCTTTAAATCAGTCTGCTGTAGAAAACACAAAGTAACTAAAAGAAACATTGACATTTTATTGAAAAAGCAAACAATTTCTAAAAGTCCAATTCTGTTTTTGGCCACAAAAACTCTTTAAAGTGTTAAGCCAAGTCAAGTCACAGAGCATTCAAAAAAGAATATCAAGTTTCCATCTCACAAATCAGATTTATGTCTTAGACATGAACATTTATGTGATTACTACTACATGACTAATTCTAATGTAGATGTGTTTTGATGGGTTATTTTTTGGGGGGACCGTGCTGATCCCTGGCCTCTCTCCCTGTCTCCTCGATGTCTAGCTCATTGTACAGAGAGCTGTATTCATGGCCGTTGTATGGCACCCAACACCTGCCAGTGTGAGCCAGGCTGGGGGGGCTCCAATTGCTCGAGCGGTAAGTCCTCCAGCTGTTGCTGTCTGTTCACAATAATGACTTTGTGAGTGGGATTGGTTTTCTGTAAAAACACTCTGAACTCACAAGAGGAGAATCAGACTGTTCTCGTCTTACTGTACCACACCAATGGCTAGACATACTGCAGGGCCAAAATACTGATGTTAGTCACAACACATGCCAGTCAAAAGTTGGAACGTGAGCATGTAGGAACTCTGGAAATTAGTGGATTTAGTTTTGATAATCAGATGTTCTTACATAGGAACTTGTTATAGGATTTTAACTACCTGTCTTCCTTAGACATATTTTAATTTCACAGGGAATTGGGGGGTTTTAGTGGGTGGCAGATTTTTTATGTAAACAGACCAGTTTAGTAACAATACTTTTTGTGCAACCTGGCTGCAGCAATTGATTAATTCTCTAAATGTTGACTTAAAGCAAGTTCCTAAAATGCTAAAGGTGATATGATGCACGGATAATAGTTTTGAGTCAGTTTTGTTTGATTTGGATTTTGCACTCTCCTCACATGGAGCATTTCTTATCAGTAAGACATCAGGACTATATCACTTGCCTCTACTTCACCAACATTTTTTTTTGTCTGCACAACGCGGGAGGCATTAAGGAAGATTTACATAGCTTACTATGTGATATTTATAAACCACGTGCTTATCATCTTCATTCACAAGAAAATCACAAAACAAAAAACACA